TATTGCTACAAAGATCTGTGTACTTTCAAATTCCTCCCAAGAAAAATGATATTCATCAAGTGCCAACATTCAGAAGTAGCAAATTGCTGTTGGAAAGACATATTTGTTTGAAACCCTAATAGGAGCAAGTATTGTTTCTATTATTTTTTTCTGCATATATAAGATATTTGCATTTCATTTCACATTAAATGGGATTTTGTAAAATGGCCTGGGGGAGCCTAAATGCAACTTATGATGCTGTTTCCATCTGAAAATGAATTTAAATTTCCAAAGAGCTAATTTAAAGACCTTTGAAATAAAACCAGTTTATAATTTGAGGATTTCATGTATCATTCCAAACTGAGGCAATGTGATTATCGATGGTTTTAAATGATACCAAGGAATTATTGTTATTTATTGTTGTCTAAATACTGGTATTTTGGTTATATGAGAAAATATATTTTTCAGAGATGCATACAAAACTAGGTTGGCATGCAATGAGAAGATGTTCAGGATTTTAAAATACTTCAACAAAGACAAGAAAAATTTCAAAAAGGAACAGATGAAGTAAATGAAGCAAAATCTTGCTAATTATTGAATCTGGAAAATGGGAATATGAGACTATAATTGATTGCTTTCTACTTCTGTGAATATTGGAAAAATGAGTATACGAGAGTTTGGTTAATGTAGCAGCCATGCAAGATTCCTACAGGACTGTGTAAACTGGGTTAATTATTAGCATCACAAAGGAATGACATCAGAGGCCCATTAATTTGGGGAGAGATGAACTTGTCTTTTGGTAGTTTCTGATATGTGAGAGAGAAAAGAACTCAAAGGCAAAGCATATGGAAAAGTAATTTCTTAATTATTTGAAAGATATTTTGTGTTTTTCTGAGATATACGAAAAGGTTTAATTCAATACAGAATAGATCAGAAACACTGTGGTAAGGTGCAAAACACATTCAGACATAGTATTTTTTTGATCTAGGTTCTTAAATGAGTATTAACTAATGGTACTGTCACCGCTGCTCTGACATTATGAGCAGTTATAATGAACAACCCTGGCATGTTTATTCCTTGTACTACCCTTACAATTCTCGACTTCTGAGGAAACTGGACCTTCCTAAAAAAAGACTCTTTAAGGCTCAAGAAATGCAGATTTCAGATCCTCGCTGTGCCACAGCCAGCCACGTGGCATTTCTTAGCCTCAGTTTACTGATCTGTAAAACAGCATTCAACTAGATGACCTCAAAGTTCTCCTCCACCTCAAACATTTATAACATAGTTTTTCATAGCTCTCTTTTTATCTTTAAAATCTTCAGATATGTTATTTTGGGACTCCTGGGTGGCTCAGCAGTTGAGCATCTGCCTTTGGCTCAGGGCACAATCCCGGAGTCCTGGGATCGAGTCCCACATCGGGCTCCCTGCATGGAGCCTGCTTCTCCCTCTGCCTGTGTCTCTGCCTCTCTCTGTGTGTTTCTCATGAATCAATAAATAAAATCTTTTTTAAAAAATAAAAAAAAATCAGATACGTTATTTTGAATAAGTTGTACTACAAAGTCCTGGGAAGCAATTAACCAGACCTACAGCACAAGCTGAGTCCCAGCACAAAAAATACCTGAGGGTAGACAAACTCAAGACAAGAACTGATTCTTCTGCAAGGGCCAAGGATCTCTTACTCCTTCCCTTTCTTCAAATAGTAAGTACTAAGGGATGATTTCCTGGTAAATTTCAATCACAAAAAGAGAGAGAGAGATCTAAATTCATAAATTAAGTCACTTTTAATAAAAAGTTCAAATTGCAAGGAATTTTTTTGGACCAGGTACGTAAAGAAATCTGCTTTAAATCTGCTCTATTGGTAAACACAAGGAAATATGCCTAGGAAATATATCTGGCCAGTATTATAACAAGAAGGAGAGAGAATAAAGAATCCACATTCTATCTCATTCTAGCTCCTATTTTAAAAGAAAGTACTGAAAGCCTATAGCAAGTATTATATACTTTGAGACACTGTATTTTCAAACAGAAATAAGGCATATCCTATTTGTGGCTTCAGTGCACTTTACCACTCATGCATTATGTAGATAGCTCAATTTCTTAAAAAAAAAATTTTAGAAAAAAAATATATATAGCCTGTAAAATGATTTGTGACTATGTTTTTGAAAGGCCACATGAAATTTAACATGTCTAGTCTGGATTCTTTCAAACTTTCTGGTCAATTATTCGTAAATAACAAGCACAATTCTTCACTTTTTCTACAGGGAGAAAAGAATTGTTAAAATGCCTGGAATGGTTAATCAAAACAAGTGAAAGAGAAAATATAAAGAAAAGAGACATCAGCCTCCTGTAAGGTGTCAGCCATAAATAATAGTCAATAGAAATCTATCACATCCAGTCATTTACATCATCTCAAGTGAAGGTCAGGGATAATCAGGCCAGAAATACCATCTTGCAAAAGGGTCATCTGTGTCACAAAGATACTGAGCTTAGGAAATTACTGACATAGAGTCAGCTGTTCCCAAAGCATCACTCAGTCCAAAGAACAGAGCATACATAAAGGAATAAAAACAAAGGATCAGTTCTAAATGCAAAGTGTAGGTGGGAAACATAAAAGAATGTAAAAAGGAACCCTCCTCTTCCCTAACTTTGGGACATCCTTCTCTTCATAGAGATCCCAACCCTTGGGCAGGCGAAGAGATCACCCACTGTGAAGGGCCCTTCTCGGGTGGGAACACCCCTCTGGGACTGGTCTCTAGGAGGCGGGCCAGAACTCTCTGCTCATGAAACAGCACTGCCGTCTGTGTGGGTGCAGTGCTCTGAGAAAGTCACTGTAGAAATAGGACACGAGGCCAGAGCAAGAAACCGGCCGAGCCAATGGTAACACAGCACCCTTTTCCCATTTTGCCAATTTGCTAAACCTGATCCAAAGAAATGCTATCATTCCCCAGGATAAGAAGTCTTACTGTGGGATGCCTAGTGGCTCAGGAGGTTGAGTGTCTGCCTTTGGCTCAGAGCATGATCCCAGGGTCCTGGGATAGAGCCCCACATCAGGCTCCCTGTGAGGAGCCTGCTTCTCTCTCTGCCTGTGTCTCTGCTTCTCTCTCTGTCTCTAATGAATAAATAAATTAAATATTAAAAAAAAAGTCTTACACTAGGATGATGACCATGTACTATTAGGGCATGCCCTGAATTAATCCTGATGCCTGTGCCCACCCTCTCTTTTTTTCTTCTTCTAAGAACATGTTTTCTCTCTATTCAAACCAAACCTTGCCCCGCTGACCTCTCTTAGACACAGGCATTCTCCCAGTGTTCATCTAGATCTCTCCCTCTCTGCTCCTCTTCCATCGTTCAACTCCTAAGTCCTAAACCAACTCCAAATCAAAGCCCCATTGTGATAAGCACCCTCTGTATGGCATTTTTGCTTAGCTCAGGGCCCCAGAGCCTAGGATGGTGCAAGGAACACAGCAGGCCCTCCATAAATAGGGAAACAATCTGTTAAATTCCCTAGCTGACTATTATGTCATCATCAGACATTTCATTTTCCCATTCTGGATCTCAAGGGCAATCATCAATTTGTCCACCATCATATCTATCATCCATATTCCCATCTTATATACTAACCCAAAACCCAAGCTCTTCAAAAGTCCAGACAATTCAGCAGGGCTGTCTTTTGCTTGGGCTCTGACTTTAAAACTCATCCTGATAATACAGCTCTCAAGAATCTCCTCCTTGTTCATTTCCTCATCCAAAGTCACAGTCCCGCCCACTTAAGGACTTGCCTCCCCCATCAAAATCTCTAATTGAGAACATACCTCTGCTCTGGGAATATTTACTCCCACTTTCTCCAGTCCTTTTCCAAAAAGCACATGCACCAATTAAACTTCAAACCGCCCCCCTCAAACATATATATATATATATATATATATATATATATATATATATATATATATGCCTTGTTATACCAGACTTCTATCAAAACCCAACAGTCCATGGAAAGCTTTCCTACTGTCTTTATTATGTTATGAAGAACTCATCTATTCCCTAGGGTATCTCCTTCATTCCTAAAACCATAAACACATTATTGAACCCATCATAGGTAGTCAAAGTGCAGAAAAAGGGAGAGAGAACAACAGATGTGAAGAAAGGATCAACTGTCTTCTCTCCGCTCATTATCCCTCTCCTCACTGCAAGCATCTGACTGTTTAAATTTATTGCTTCTATCCTTGCAAGAACAAGGTACATTTTGCCTAGTGAAGCCTCTCTTTGTTTTGCTGATTCAAAATTGGGAGGGAGTATATTAAGAAAAGATGGGATTATTCTAGGATACACTGATTTTTTTTTTCCAAAATGTATAATCATGGTGGATCTCCTCATAGTTGCTGGGTCCTTGAAATCTAATTTGCCTAAGTCAATCTCAAACCAGAAACGGAGAAAGAAAGCAAAAATCATAAAAAGAAAGTCCATCTTCTAATTATCACTAAAAAGTCATCTGCCTTCGTTATAGCCAGAAGCCTCCAAACTGAGGAATTCACTGGCAAAGAAGACATGTCAAGTTCTCAATTCCAATTACCTTTTGCCACAGATTCATTATATACCACCTCCCTTCAGTAAGTGAGGTTGGCTTGGGTTGAAAATGTGGAAGATTAAAGAAGGCATTAAAGAAATCAGACAACCTCTTTCTAACCCAATACCACTGCCCTCCTTCTGACTAAAATTGATAATTATCACATGTAACTCTCCCACCTACCCTGGAAACAACAATAACTCCCAGACTCCGTACTTTACATATACTCTCTCATTTAACCCATCCCAAAAGCCTGGTCGGTAAGTTTTACCATTCCCATAATACAGCTGTGAAAACTGAGGCCTCAAAGGAGAATGATACCGAAAACTTTGTCAGCCAATAGTCAAACTAGGCCATATTAACCCTTTGTTACTTTTATAAATTACTGAGTATCTTAAAAACCGTTTGGATTTACAACTCCTAAGATTTTTGAATTAGGAAATTTTAAAATGCATACCTGCTTTTTCCTTGAATTTGCTTTGGGAAACAGGCCTGCTGACAACACAGATGTAAACGGAGAACAGCATAGCTCAGGAAAAGGGTTTGGAATAGATGGCATTTCCAGAACATCAAGATCTTTCTTTTTTCTCCTACACCAAGAGAACATAGGATGTAATTTACATAAAGCGGAATGTAAAATATAATTGCTGACAGGATTAAGAAGTTACGGCCAACATGTGCCAGTCTGTGACAACACTAATATGAAGTATACAGCAAAGGTCTGTGATGTACTGTCTGTGGGTCACAACAAAACACGTCCATTGGTATGAACCAATTTTATATAGTAGTCCTATCTTCTTTTTTGGAGGCCTTTTGAAAAAAAAAAAATCACTAGGCATTGTTAACTCCAATTCCAGCATTTTTGATCATATTCCTGAAGCTGAAACACAGACCCTGTAATCACTGATGCGAAAAACCAACCTGAGAAGTTAGACATTCTTATGGATCTATTAAATCGACAAAGTCTACAAACATTTAGTGAATCCGTCCCTATGCTATTTCACTAATCACTTTTGGAAGTTATGGCTTATTAATTATAGCTGTGGCTCATCTCACTTCAAATTTCATTCACAATGTTGCCCACACACAGTCTGTTGATTTTTCAAGTGCTTATAGATACTAAACCGCAAGGCAGTGTTTTTGAAGAGGTAAGTGAATAGAACTTGCTAGTATAAATGTACTCTAGTCCACTGCAGAGTAATTTTAACTTTAGTGAAGTTGAAGCACTTTGAAAATCTGGGGGGGGAGGGGAGGGGAGGGGGGGGGAGTACCATTTCAATGTACGAATATAAAAGACTACAGATGATTTTTTCTTTTTGTATTGTTGCAGTCTTTTTCCTTCTTAAAGTCTGTGCAGAATTGTGAACTCTAAAGGCACTTGGTGCTGAACGCTATGGAGATTGGGAAACCTTGTAAAGCCTCTATTCTTTCCTACCGAACGGCTAAGCAAAGCAGGGCTGCTCAAACGTCAATCCGTGCTTTGCCTCCCCAGGGTCGCTGTAAGACTCTATGTGGGAGGTGAACTCATTTATGCCACGATTTTTTTGATATATAAAATAAAAAGGATTCGGGTTGGGGAGGGGGGGTTGGGTTTTGGTGGGATTTTTTTTCTTTTTCTTTTGTTTTCTTTCTTTCTTTCTTCTTTCTTTCTTTCTTTCTTTCTTTCTAAGTGCAGGGCCACGAGGGGGTGGGGTGGGGTGGGGTCGGGTGGGGTGGGGTGGGGGTCACCCGGCCTCCCGGCGCACAGCGATGGGCAGAGGCGGGAGCCCCCGGGAGCTCCCATTGAACCGGCGATGCTATTTATAAGGCGCCGGGAGATCGCAATGTCCTGCCGCGCCGGCGGGAGCCAGCTCGAAGGGAATCGTCTTCAGAGACTTTCACAAACTTGGCCCCGCTCTGGGCACATGGCTCGCCCCCGGGGCCCGCCTCCGCAGCCCCCGCCGGCCGCCCGCCGGCCACTCCCCCGCGCCCTCCGAGGGCTGCCTCCTACCTGTCTGCGGCGCGGCCGCGGGCCCCGGCCGGAGGGGGCAGGAGCGCCCGCGCGGGCCCCCAGGGAGCGGGCGCGGGCGCGGGCGCGGGCGCCGGGCCGCGGGCGTCGCCCCTCCCCCGGGCAGCGCCGCACACCTGGGCGGCCAGCGGCGAGTCCTGGGCGGCCGCCCGCCCCGCGGCGCCCTGCCCGTCCTGCAGGGAAGTGGTCATCGTCGTCGGCCGGGGGCGCGGGGCCGCGGGGCCGCGGGGGCGCCGGCGCGGGCGGGCGGGGCGGGGGGCGAGGCCGGCGGCGGGGGGCGAGGCGCCGGCTCGGCCGCCGAGCGCGCTGCAGGTGCGGTGGCCTCGCCGCCTGCGCTCCGGGCCCGGGCGCCGGAGCCGCGCGGCCGAGCAGTCGGCGAGGCGGCGGGGGAGGGGAGGGGGCGGAGGAGGAGGGTGGGGAGAGGGGAGGAGCGGCCGGTGGGTGGGGGCCGCGGGCGGCGGGCGGCGGGCGGCGGGGCGCGGCGGGCGGGGGCGGGGAGGGCGCCGGGCGGGCCCCGCCGCCGGCCCGGGACGCGCGGGGGCGCCGGCGGAGGTCGCGCGAGGCCCGGGTCCCGCCGCCGCCGCCGCCGCCGCCGCCGCCGCCGCCGCCGCCCCGGGGGGGCGCCCGACGCGAGGCCGAGCCTGGGGCAGGGCGGGCCCGCGGCGCGGGAGGCGGGCGCCCCCGCGGGGCCTGGCGAGCGGGGCGCGGACCCCAGACCCTTCCTGCCGCGGCCGCGACCGCGACACCGCCCCAGCGGCGGGGCCGCCATGACAGGCCCCGCGGCTCAGCCCGGCGCCCCCCACGCGCCGCGCGCCGCCTCCCGCCCGCAGCCTCAGGCCGGGCGGCCGCGGGAGCGCGCAGGACCGTCCCTGCGCGGGAGGCACCTCGGGGGGGGGGGGTCCCGGGATGTCGGGATGCTCCGCGAGGCGGGGTCACCCGAGGGCGCCCGGGCCCGTGGGACACACAGGACTGCACTTCTAATGCGAGGCGCCCCCGCGCACCGCGCCCTGCTGCGCCCCGGCGACAGCCTCAGGTGCGGGTCAGGTGCGGGCCCCATCATTCCGGCGAGGAAGACGGGGCTCGCGAGCTTGCCCGACGTGCCCCCAGCCGTCGGAGCGGCGGCGCCGCCGACTCACGAGATCCCTGCTCGGAAACGCAGGCTGCTGGAAATGGTGCGGCGGCGCCGCCCCCGGGCTTCCCCCGCTTGGCTCACCTGCGGGCACCCCCCGCTGGAGGACGCGAGCCGCCTTCTGAGGTCGAGGCGGCGGTAGCTGCTGCTCAGGGCACACCTCGGCCCTCTCTGCCCCTCAGCAGGTAGGCACTTCAGCGCCTTACGTCAGCACCACACCAAGGGCAGCGGTGGCCCCCCCTCAGGGCACACCGGTAGCTGCCCCTCGGGGCACACCTCTCAGCAGGTAGGCACTTCAGCGCCTTACGTCAGCACCACACCAAGGCAGTGCCCACCCACGGGCAGCAGGTGGCCCCGCCCCTCAGGGCACACCGGTAGCTGCCCCTCAGGGCACACCTCTCAGCAGGTAGGCACTTCAGCGCCTTACGTCAGCACCACACCAAGGGCAGAGGTGGCCCCCCCCTCAGGGCACACCGGTAGCTGCCCCTCAGGGCACACCTCTCAGCAGGTAGGCACTTCAGCGCCTTACGTCAGCACCACACCAAGGGCAGCGGTGGCTCCCCCTCAGGGCACACCGGTAGCTGCCCCTCAGGGCACACCTCTCAGCAGGTAGGCACTTCAGCGCCTTACGTCAGCACCACACCAAGGGCAGAGGTGGCCCCCCCCTCAGGGCACACCGGTAGCTGCCCCTCGGGGCACACCTCTCAGCAGGTAGGCACTTCAGCGCCTTACGTCAGCACCACACCAAGGGTAAGTCCACACCAAGGGTAAGTCCGTCCGGGAGGTATGCTGAGAGAGACCACACTGACGTTACCTTGATTACAGCATATTGTTATAATTGCTCTAATTATTAGCGACGATCGCCCATCTCTTTCTGCGCCTAATTTGTGAATTAAAATTCATCACAGGTATGTATGTACAGGGAAAACACACACGTAGTATATACGTGATCCGCGTAGGCGGCGCCGTCTGCTATTATCCAAGATTCCAGGTACCCACCGAGGGGCCTCGAAATGTATTTCTGCGCGTAAAGGTGGACTACGGTGATTACACCATGCTCACCCCCCGGGGGTGCAGCAGGCCCCCTCGGAAACCCTGGGTGCTGCTCTGTTTCTTCTCCTCCCCCAAGCTCCCCCATCCCGCGCTGTGGAGGATTTCCAAATGTTTCACACCCTCTTTGTTCTTTGACCAAATTAGGTAACATCTGTCCCTGGCATCCGGTCCGCCAGGTTTTGGTAACCTCCGCAACCCCAGCCCAGGGAAGGGCCGGCAGTGCCTCCTGGAGAGGCGAGCGGAACCCTCTCTTCCAGCCACAGACACACACCGCAGCACCAGCCACCGCTAAAAACCAGGGCTCGCGAACACCCAGCTCGTGAGGACACCGGGCTACGCCACAGAAGGGAGATCCTCAAGTCCAAGAGCTCGTGGAATCCAAGTTCTTCATTCTTCTGACGTCAGAATTAGGACCCAGTAAAGAGCAGTATCGGTCTGGGTCCCACGGTGGGTATGGTCTCCAGGAGACATTCAAGGAACCGTGCAGTAGCCACCCAAGGACAGAAGGGTGGTCCTCCTGAGGGATCATGACAGAAGTTAACACGTGTGGATGCTGTGAGCCAGGCAAAGCCCTGGCTCCCATCCGGGTCCTGAATATGGTCTGGATTCCACACGTGAGCTTTAAGAGTTTCATGTCAAAGCATGCAGTTATATTGAGGCCACTCCAGCAAACTAGAAAAGAGGTTATATACTTGCAGAGAACTTGAACTAAAGACATAACTCCTCCTCCTTCCCCCCTCTAAAACGGTATACTCTGGGCATCTAACAGGAAGGGGAATCCGTGGTTAAAGTTTGTGCCCACCCTGCTCCCAGCAACTAACTCTCTCTCTCTCTCTCTCTCTCTCTCTCTCTCACACACACACACACACACACACACACACACACACACACAAAGAGCAGGCTGTCTTTTTTGTCGCAGAAAAGGGTGGTTGAAAACTGTTTATATCTTCGGAATCACTGGAGTACTATTTCCCAATAGTGTGTCCTGCTCTACTTCCCAGGATAAATGTTTAACCTCAAGAAAGAGTATTCATTTGTTGGAATGAGATCTCAATCGTGTCTCCCCTCTCCAGGCATTTTTCTCGTTTAGTGAACATCCAAGGAGTATCCATTTGCAGGCTTTATGTTCCTTCTCTAACCCCCATGGCAAAAATTATAATGCCTGAAGTCATCAGGGACGAAAGCAAAACGGACAAGTCTCTGAGGAATGGGAACTTAAACAGTTGTGTCTTGTAGACTGGTGTTAAATATTGAATTTGCATCTAGAGACCTTGAGGCTCTGTACCAAGAACTACTAGAATTAGCTCATTCACATTTCTGAAGCAAGCCAACAAAAGAACTAGTTTTTCTCCCTAAGAGGTTTACAAAAAAATAATTCTAGGGACGCCCGGGTGGCTCATCGGTTGAAGGTCTGCCTTGGGCTCAGAGCATGATCCTGGGGTCCCGGGATCGAGTCCCACATCAGGCTCCCCGCACGAAGCCTGCCTCTCCCTCTGCCTATGTCTCTGCCTCTTTCTGTGTGTCTCTCCTGAATTAATAAATAAAATCTTAAAAATAATAATAATTCTAAACAAACAACTATGCAATCTAAAAGAATACTATGAGACCTGGTACAGTCTAGAAGGATACAGAGGCATTTTTTCATCAAAAAGGAAGTTGTAACGGGAGATTTTCCTTCCCATAACTAACAAAGATTTCTGAAACCATGAGGCAGATATGTTGGGGCCAAGATTTCTGTAACACTACGGTATCTTGGTACCAAGATTTCTGAAACATTAAGATATCTTGGCACCACGATTTCTGAAGCACCAAGGCAGGTATCTTGGTACCAAAGACCGGATCCTCCCCTGTTGTCCTTTTTGACTTGAACCTGTAAAATGGCAAAGGAAGCAGTTTGCCTTCTGACCCCTCTCCCACTGTCTGCCCCTTTGCTCCTTTCCTTCCTCCCTCTCCCTAGGGATCCTAGCCTTTCTACCCTTCAAGGAAAAGGTGACTTCCCTGTTCTACTACTCTCCCTTCCTTTACTCATCAGTTCAAATTTCTGAACCCTTTTTGTTGAGAAAGATGACATACATCCAGAAAAGAAGTTCACAGACAAAATTGTATGATGACTTATCACTAGACAAACACTGATGGCAGGTCATGAATTGCAGTCAGCCTCTAAAAGCCCCTCCCTCCAATCCAGATGTTCATGGTAATTGGCTCGACTTGATTCCCTTAAGGTTTGATTTACAATATTCTTTTTCAAGTGGCTGTAGCTCTTTCATTCTTCTATTGTATGTGACTACCACAGTTTATCCATTCTACTGTTGGTAAGCATCTGGACTATTTCCAGCTTCTTACTATTATTAATGCTGCTGCGAGGAACATTTTGTATATGTCCTTTGATGCACATGTGTATATATTTCTGGATGGTATATATGAGTGGCACTGTGAGGTCATGGTACACGTATGTTCAGCTTTGGTAAATCTGCTAATTTCTCAAGTGAATTGTACCAATTTCACCCCCTGGCAGCATAAGTTTCTACAGCTCTTCACATCCTTGAGGATTGGAATATTACTCAAATTTTCACAATAGACATTCTGGTTGAGTGTGTAGCCTTATTTCATACTTTCCTGATGAATAATGAGGTCGAGCACTTTTTCAGGTGATTATTTGCCATTTGGACATCCTCTTTCGTTAAGTACCGATTCAAGTCTCCGCCCATTTTTATGTTGCCTTTTTTTTTTATTCTTTTATAGGAGTTCTTCATATATTCTAGTTACCAGATCTTTGTTAGTTAGATTTGGTAAGTATATTCCTCCATTCTATGTCTTCCATCTTGTAACTCTTAATGGTATCTTTTGACAAATGGAGGTTCTTTTAAGTATTACATAGCCAAAGTTATTTTTTATAGCTATTAGTTTATATCCTATTAGAAATTTTCTATATCTATTCCAGAAGTTTATTGTTTTGCCTTCCACAGTTAAATCTGTCATCCAACAAGAAGGATATTTTTATCCCAGGGTAGGAAAAGTGTGAAGGTGTGAGGGTGTAAAGAT